TCGGTAGGAAAACGATTTTGGTTGCCAAAAAAGCAAAAAATGACCATTTATTGAAAAATGAGTTTTTCAGGTGTCGATAGTGAACAAAACGTCCACTTTATCACGAAAATGGTTTTCAGTGTCAAAAAGGACAAAAACGACCGCTTGCTTAAAAGTGGGTTTTTTTAAGAGGCCGTAAATGACCAAAGTGACCATTTTAGCTAAAAATGGTTCCAAAAGTGTCAAGAATCGACAAAAATGACCTTTTGTAAATAAAATATCCATTTTCAATTTTAAGCCGGTTTTGATATAAAAAATTGTTGTGAATGATCGAGATGGTAGTTATGTAAAGAAAAGTGTAGAAAATGTCTCGTTTGCTGGTTAATGCATGTGTGAAGTGTCAAAATGCCCTCGGGCGGTGGTCCCGTATACGGAAAGCTATCGGTAAATCCCGTGAAGGGATAACCATTTGGTTAACTTCCGAGAGATCATAGTAACCTTACGAGAACCATCTTTTACGTGTGTGAAATCAATTACGACTACGGAAATCCAAGAATGTCATCTCGTGATGATAGGATGTGCATGTGCTCGATATGTGCTCATTTTACATCAATAAGTAAATTTTAAAGATATAAAGCATGTAAAAATGTAAAGATGAGCAATATAATGATAAAGAGAGCAATAATGGACACGAAATGTAAAGTAAGGCCAAAAAGTGATGATCCCGAGTATGAAGAGCTACTAGTAAGCTCGTAAAGGGATAACCATTTGGTTAGCTTCTGAGAGGTCGTAGTAACCTCACGCGAATCATCTTTTGTGTGTGTGTTTGCGTGAAATTTAGTTAACCTGATCAACCTGTGTTCCGGAATTGAGGGGTATCACAACACTCCTATAATAAGACATTCTTTCATTCTAGTTGACTTGGTTTTCTTTTCGTCCTTGGTTGTTAGGGATGGCCTTTTCTTGTTTGCCTTATTGTCATCCCTTTCTTTCCCCTTTCATGTGCTCATAGCATCTTCAGTGTTCATGTGTTTTTGGGCTCGGACCAATAACTTGGCCATGTTGGAAAGACGCTCCTTTGATACGGAGAAGAGGAATCTCGAGGTTTAAAGTCCTCCAATAAAGGCGATTAGGGCCACCTTGTCGCCAGCCTCCTCCACCTGTAGCATCTTTATATTGAACCGACTAATGTAGTCTCGCAGTGACTCTCCCTTTTGTTATTTTTTATGAACCCTGAATATTGCATATTCGAGCCCTAAAACATGCATATGTTAAGGCCTTATGTAATACTTTTATTCAGTTTTATACTGATTTTAGTTTATTTGCTTTTTTAGGTGATTTTCTGAATAAGTTGATCAAATCATTATCTTTAGGCATGAAGCAATGTTCCCAAGGCCTTCGGAGGTGTTTTAGACCTTTCAGGTTGAATTAGGAGTCATTCGAGTGAGATTTGATGAAATTTTGAAAGATTTTGGACCTACTTCAGTATTTTGGTATAACTTTTTACTCGAAACTCCAAATTGGGCAAACTCAATGGCTTTGGAAATAAGACTTGAAGAGCATCAGTTTTGTGTCTAATAGTAATTTTGAGATTTGGACTCTAAATAGGTCAAAACAGCGTTACAAAACTGCATATTGAGAGGTTGATCGAGCACCCTATTCATGGTGATCGAGCACTGTTTAGGGTGATCGATCGCCCTGATGAAAAATGCTAAAATTTGGCTAAGTGTTATGAAAAAAGACGCTTCGAAAATAATTGAGATAGGGTGATCGATCACCCTCACGCTGATACTTAAAATTAGTTACGGAATTATTCTATTTTCAGCTTTTTTGACCTTAGATAGGCCTAGATGACTTCATAAATTCTAAAGTCCATTTAAGAGGGAATAGAAGTCAGATTTCTTCTATAAACGAAGGGGAAAGGTCATAAGAAAGGTCTCTTGTAACTTTTTAGATCCGGTGGCGTCTTTTAGTGTTTTGAAGCTTTCTTTGAAGAATTGAAGAAGAAAATCCTGAGAAGAGGAGTTACAATCCATGGAGATGCTTTCCACACCAATCAAGATGATATTCTCCGTCTCCATGAATAGCTAAATCCCTTCTTAGGGCACTGATGTAACCTAAATTCGATACTATGGTTTGATTGTTTTAACTTTGGGATTTTCATTATTAATGTATAATTGATTGCATGATTATTGAGCAATTGACTTAGATCTTCTAAGCAATTGGGTTTTAATTGAATAAATTGGCTTTTGATAAATTAATCTCTTATCTTAGAATTAATTCTTCTTTAAATTAAAATCAGCCTATTCTTATTGTTTGGGATTGGCTGCTAAGGGCTTCTCATGACAATAAGAATAAAGATCATGTAATAGTGCGTAAAGCATTTTTGTGAATGAATGTTTTTATAATTTATGCTTAGAAAAAATGGAATATTCTGTAAAATTAGTTAGAAGTAGGTAGGTAGATAATTCATGCCAACTGAAGATAGGTTATTATTAACAAACATTCGTAATTTATCTTTCTTTAAATTGAATTAAATGAATGTTAATGATTTTAATTTCGAGTTATACATTGACATTAAAATCCCAAGGTTGAGACAATTGGCCATAGTATAAGGTTCGTGATGAAATCAAGCCCTAAGATCTTCTATCTCTGATCTCAATTTGTTTACTTTGTTTAATGTTTGTTTATGCTATTTTAGTGCAACACAACAAACAAAATTTTCTCTAAACTAAAATAGAAATTAATTTTAGACATGATAAAACTACTATAGTCCCTGAGGTTCAACACCCTCTAAGTAGTCCTATCCTGCAAAGGATTCGTACTATTGCGAGTGGTAAAATAAACACACATCAGTTTTAGTGTGAGAAGGTAGGTAGCCGGCCTTCTATGCCTCTAGCCTGTAATGAAATGGCCTACAAATTGCTTACTCAGTTCCTCAAAGGTCTCGATGGTTCCTGGCCTCAGCTTATTGAACTATACCCGCATTGATCCTCCGAGGGTCGTTGGAAAGGCCCTGCACATGATTTCATTCAGCACAACATGCAAATGCATAAGAGCTTGAAAGGTCTCCAGGTGGTCGAGGGGATCTCTAGTCCCGTTAAAACTCTCAATTGATAGCATCTTAAATTTGCTTGGCAAGGGGCATTTCAAAACGGCGGGGCTGAACGGTAAGTTGGTCTTCTACACCAGGTTATCTATGGTGGCAGGACCTTTCCCCTTCATAGCGTGTATCATATCTTCCATTTTCACCTTGAAATCCTGGATCTGCAGGTCTAAATAGGTAACCTCCTCTGTCTTTTCATTGACTGTTGTGTCTCCATAAGGTCAGGAACTCCGTGGGAGAAATGGATGGGCCACCTCTCTAACCTGACTTTGCTCCACTTCGGTTTCATTTTAAGGAGGATTGTTATCCCGTTCTTTAAGGTTTCTATCCCCATCATTTGGGTTTGGAGGATCTTATCGTTGGATATTCTGTTGAACCGGTGGACCAGCTGGGGCGAGATGTCGTAAGATCGCTGCATTTTGCTGAATCAACTGGTCCATACCCTGATTCAGAGTTTGGACGTGTCGTTCCAGTGCTGCAACGCGTTCCTGGTCATTTGGGACGTCTGGGTGTTCACTCGACCCTTCCCTTTAACCTGAGCCTTGTTTCTTCTTCGGTTACCATACCAGACCGCAAACGCATATACCCAACTGAGCAACTTATTGATTTTCACTAAAGGAATTGTTGTTCCCATAGACGGCACCAGCTATTGGGGAAGAAATCTGTGCAGTTTGAAATGACATTGCTCTCTGCAAAACAAAAACGGCTAAGTCTGACACCGGTGAGGTGCTGGTCGAAGACCCTCTGACGATCAAGTCAGTGAGGTTTAGGAGAGAAAAAATAAGTTTTTAGCCAAATCAGAGAAGGGTTTTCTCATACCTCATTAACAGCTGGCTCCCGTATTTATTATCTTCTTCCTGATCCAGTCAGTTGAGTGTAATTCGGTTATAGAGATTTAATTTATCATTAACGACGACTTCAATTATCTTCGTCAATTGAATGTCGTCATCCTTATTGTAGACAATCATCATCATTAGGAAGTTGAGGAGAATTGACGGCTGATCAATATTAGGTTTTTTCCATCTGGTCAACATATGTTTATTTTCCCCATCATTATGAAAACTAAACCATCATCTTACTTATGAAATCACTGAATACTCTCATCAGATTTCATATTAAATACTCTTTTTAAATTTCATATTTTGATTAAAATTAAAGTAAAAAAATGTTAAGAAATTCAAACAAGTCCTTACACTTTTATAATATATATATATATATATATATATATATATATAGATTTTGTTGTAAGTGTATTTATATAATTTTGTCTTTCTGTAAAGGCTAAGTGACAGAATTTTCTTATTTGTAAAATTTAAAAAATGTAAGGGGTTAAGTGAATGCTCGAATATTTTTATTTATTTATTTATTTTTATTTTTTGCACTCTACCCTTTTAAATATAATTTTATTATTTTGGTCATTTAGAATGACCAAAATAATAAAATTATATTTAAAAGGGTAGAGTGCAAAATAATAAAATTATATTTAAAAGGGCAGAGTGTGTGCGGAGAGCCAAAAAAAAAACTAGGGTTTTCAAGTGACTTATTAGTTGGGGGGTATGTTCAACTCAGCCGATGAGAGTCCCAGAGTCGTATTTGCGGTGAGATCCATGGAGATCTTCCACATGTATGTAATATGGAATTCTATTTTACGAATAAAATGGAATTTATAAAAAGAAATTTGAAAAGAAATAAATTTTGTAAAACAGGGTTGTAACTTGTAAAAAAGTATTTTAGTAAGTTAAATCTTGTAAAATTCTTCTAATTTTTTAATTTGGTATTTATTGACATACTTTTAAATTCATTCTTAGTTCTTTTTTGTTTTTTTAAGTTTAAATTCATTCCGTGAAGTAATCTGCACATATATATATATATATATATATATATATATATATATATTCACACATATATCACACGCTTCCCTTGCACCCAACCCGCTTTTTATCTCTCTTGCGGTGGGGTTTATACAATTCGTCTCGTTTTCGGGTTCAACTATACTGTCCAAATAGGGTTTTTCTTTTCGCTTCGGCTCTCAATTCCGTCTGTTTCGTTTCCGAGTTCTAGGGTTTAGCTATGTATCTCTACAGTCTCACTCTACAACAAGCCACTGGCATAGTATGTGCCATCAACGGAAACTTCTCGGGAGGAAAGTCCCAAGAAATCGTGGTCGCTCGCGGCAAAGTTCTCGATCTCTTGCGTCCTGATGACAACGGTAAGATCCAAACCTTACTCTCTGTTGAAGTTTTTGGTGCTATTAGGTCTTTGGCTCAGTTTAGGTTAACTGGTTCTCAAAAAGATTACATTGTTGTTGGGTCTGATTCGGGTAGAATCGTAATCCTTGAATACAACAAGGAAAAGAATGTATTTGATAAAATTCACCAAGAAACTTTCGGGAAATCGGGGTGTCGCCGGATTGTTCCGGGGCAGTATCTGGCAATTGACCCAAAAGGTCGTGCCGTGATGATTGGTGCTTGTGAGAAGCAGAAGCTTGTTTATGTGTTGAATAGGGATACGGCAGCTAGGTTGACGATTTCGTCGCCGTTGGAGGCACATAAGTCTCACACGATTGTGTATTCGGTTGTGGGGGTTGATTGTGGGTTTGACAACCCTATTTTTGGTGCTATTGAGTTGGATTATTCAGAGGCCGACCAGGATTCAACTGGCCAGGCGGCCAGTGAGGCCCAGAAAGTCCTTACTTTCTACGAGCTAGATCTTGGACTCAATCATGTTTCGAGGAAGTGGTCGGAACAGGTTGATAATGGTGCTAACATGCTTGTTAATGTTCCGGGCGGTGGGGATGGACCGAGTGGTGTCCTTGTTTGTGCTGAAAATTTTGTCATATATAAGAATCAAGGTCACCCAGATGTTCGGGGTGTTATTCCAAGGCGAGCAGACTTGCCTGCGGAACGTGGGGTTCTTGTAGTTTCGGCTGCCATGCATAAGCAGAAGTCCATGTTCTTTTTTCTTTTGCAGACAGAGTATGGGGACATTTTTAAGGTGACACTAGATCATGACAATGACCGGGTTACAGAGTTGAAGATTAAGTATTTTGATACAATTCCTGTTACTTCTTCGTTGTGTGTTTTGAAGTCGGGGTTTCTATTTGCTGCTTCAGAGTTTGGGAATCATGCATTGTATCAGTTTCAGGCAATAGGGGACGATCCTGATGTGGAGTCTTCATCGGCTACATTGATGGAAACTGAAGAAGGTTACCAGCCAGTATTTTTCCAGCCTAGAAAACTTAAGAACCTTGTTAGGATTGACCAACTTGAGAGCTTGATGCCAATAATGGACATGAAAGTATCAAATCTCTTTGAGGAAGAAACTCCGCAGATTTTTACACTTTGTGGGAGGGGTCCTCGTTCATCCCTACGGATACTAAGACCGGGTTTGGCTATCAGCGAGATGGCTGTTTCACAACTTCCCGGTGTCCCAAGTGCAGTTTGGACGGTGAAAAAGAATGTCAATGATGAGTTTGATGCGTACATTGTTGTCTCTTTTGCGAATGCTACTCTTGTGCTCTCTATCGGTGAAACAGTTGAAGAAGTTAGTGATAGTGGGTTTCTTGATACAACCCCCTCACTTGCAGTTTCTTTGATAGGCGATGATTCTCTGATGCAAGTTCACCCAAGTGGTATTAGGCATATAAGGGAAGATGGACGTATTAATGAGTGGAGAACTCCTGGAAAGAGGTCAATTGTCAAGGTTGGATACAATAGACTTCAAGTGGTTATTGCCCTGAGTGGAGGGGAGCTTATATACTTTGAGGTGGATATGACTGGCCAGTTAATGGAAGTTGAAAAGCACGAAATGTCTGGGGACGTGGCTTGTTTAGATATTGCACCGGTTCCTGAAGGAAGACAAAGATCCCGTTTCCTTGCAGTCGGATCATACGACAACACTATTCGTATACTATCTTTGGATCCTGATGACGGTATGCAGGTCTTGAGCGTGCAGAGTGTTTCCTCCCCTCCAGAATCTCTTCTCTTTCTTGAAGTTCAGGCTTCTGTTGGTGGGGAGGATGGTGCGGATCACCCAGCTAGCCTTTTTCTTAATGCCGGTTTACAGAATGGAGTCCTGTTTAGAACAGTGGTGGATATGGTGACAGGTCAGCTTTCAGATGCCCGTTCCCGGTTCTTAGGATTGAGAGCCCCAAAGCTATTTTCTGTGATCGTGAGAGGACGCCGTGCTATGCTTTGCTTGTCAAGTAGACCGTGGCTTGGTTACATACACCAAGGACATTTCCTATTAACACCTCTATCATATGAGACTCTTGAATATGCAGCCTCGTTTTCATCTGATCAGTGTTCAGAAGGTGTAGTTGCTGTTGCCGGGGATGCATTGAGGGTTTTTACTATTGAGAGATTGGGTGAAACATTTAACGAAACTGTGATTCCTTTGCGCTACACCCCGAGAAAGTTTGTGCTTCAACCCAAGCGGAAACTGTTAGTAATTATTGAGAGTGATCAGGGAGCATTCACAGCAGAAGAGCGTGAAGCTGCGAGAAAGGAGTGCTTTGAGACTGCTGGAATGGGGGAAAATGGAAGTGTGGAGCAGATGGAGAATGGTGGGGATGATGAAGAGGATCCCCTTTCTGACGAGCAGTATGGCTATCCAAAGTCTGAGTCAGACAAGTGGGTTTCTTGCATTAGGGTTCTTGACCCAAGGAAATCAGATACGACTTGCCTGCTGGAACTTCAGGATAATGAGGCTGCATTCAGCATATGCACAGTAAATTTCCATGATAAGGAGTACGGAACTCTTCTCGCAGTTGGTACAGCAAAGGGCCTGCAATTTTTGCCCAAAAGATCCTTTGCTGCTGCTTATATTCATATTTACCGATTTCTGGAAGATGGGAAATCCCTTGAACTTTTGCACAAGACGAAAGTGGAAGGTGTTCCTCTTGCAATGTGTCAGTTTCAGGGAAGATTACTGGCTGGAATCGGACCTGTGCTTAGATTATATGATTTGGGGAAAAGGAGATTGCTGAGGAAATGTGAGAATAAGCTGTTCCCCAACATGATCACCTCTATCCATACATATCGTGATCGGATTTATGTAGGTGACGTTCAAGAGGTATGTTCTCCATACAATATTTATTATTTATTATTTTCTCTATAGAATTATGAGTTTGTGTTAGATGATTTAACATCTGATGCTACAAGTATATATGGAGACAGTTATGTCCCTTCTGTCATCTTTGATCACATAGAAACATGAATTTGTTTATAGCAGTGTCATTTATTCGATACTGTTGTATTAGCATCTTGTCGAAATAAGGATATTCTGTTACATTGGTCAACTAAGACACATCTTGTTTATTGACCGAGTTAGACACACGTGGCACGAACAGGACCCGTTTATTAAACATGTAACATGACATGGCCTGCTTAATAAGTGGGTTGTATAATGTGTAACACGACATGACCCATTTAAAAAAAAATTTACTTTTTTTTTTTTTTTTTTCTTTCTTATATATAAAATGCAAATATAAACCAAAAAAGATTTGGTATGAATTACTTATTCAATATAAACTTCATATTTAAGGCTATATCTTTCATTTTTCTTAATAATCACACAATTAATGAGGTTCTTTTACTATTGTACCATATTAATTTAAATATGTTACCTAGTATACAAGTTGAAATGGGTCCTAGTCAATTCGGGTTGACATGACATGGTTATGACACGATTAGTTATACGAGTCAAATTGGGTAAAATTAGTTTAGCTAACTAACAGTTAACTCGATCACAATATGATCAATTAAACAAGGTCATCGGGTTGATACGATTATGACATGAACACGATTAAGGTCAACCCAGACCTGCTAATTTTGTGTTGGGTTTGAGCTGTGTTGACGGGTAATGTCAAAATTTGCCACTTTTATCTGTTTATTTAATTCTTTAATTTTTCTGATGGTTGGCAATACATTAAGAAAATACTAAAATAGTGATCATTGAAATATATCTGAAGTAGTAGCATACACTAATTGTCATAATTTTTCATCAACTTTTTGGCAGATATATGTAATACACATGCTGATTTGCATCTATATTTTTACAGTTAAGATATTTATATACAGAATTGTTCATCATACTATGATACTCTGAAAATTTTGTTGCCATTTTTTTCAGTCTCATATTTATGTATGACAAATATTTATGCATGTAATATATGTAAATAAGCTTATGTAGATGTGTATCCATAAATGAATTACACACACACACACACACACACACACACGTGTGTTCGTGCTCATATGTGCAAAATTGTGTTTGTACATGTGATTATGATGATGGGAAGAGGGTGAACCCAGACAAATAGAGTACAAAGCAAGTTTTTATCTTTTGAAAGCAAAATGCAATTTCATCTTTTCCACTTTTTAGAAAGTACATTTTAGGTGTAGATCAATCACCAGGCTATCCTATTATCCTTTTATTTTAGCGGCTTAAACAAGTAATTAGTACTAATAAAAAGCGCAACCACATGGTACCAAGATTTCGAATGTCTTTCCTTAATTACTGTTCTGCCAAATTCTTAGTCAACAAATTCTCTTTCCAATTTATATTTAGCATGCCATCTATCCAACTTCAGTGACTAATTGGACTTTCATCCCGAATATAAGAGTGATGATACGAGTTCGTAGTTTCTTTGGTAGTTTAACAATGAGTTTCAACATGTCACTTCAGTATTATTTTATTTGCAAGTGAAGTGTACATATACCAGTTCTTTTTTATGTTTGGTTCATGAATTACCGTATTAACTGACTTGGCTCTGGTTTCCCTTCTCTTATCAGTCATTCCATTATTGCAAGTATAGACGTGATGAAAATCAACTATATATATTTGCTGATGACTCCGTTCCGAGATGGCTTACTGCATCATACCACATAGATTTCGACACCATGGCAGGTGCAGACAAGTTTGGCAACTTCTATTTTGTGCGGTTACCACAGGATGTGTCGGATGAGATTGAAGAAGATCCAACTGGTGGGAAGATAAAGTGGGAGCAGGGGAAGCTGAATGGAGCCCCAAACAAGGTAGAGGAAATAGTACAGTTTCATGTTGGTGATGTGGTTACTTGTCTGCAGAAGGCATCTCTAATTCCAGGTGGTGGAGAGTGCATCATTTACGGGACTGTAATGGGAAGCTTGGGGGCATTGCTTGCATTCACATCTCGGGATGATGTCGACTTCTTTTCTCATTTGGAGATGCATATGAGGCAAGAACACCCACCTTTGTGCGGAAGAGATCACATGGCCTATAGATCTGCTTATTTTCCTGTCAAGGTGAGCCTTGCGTCTCCTTATTTACTAGTTTGAATCCATCAATACACCTTGAAGGCATCTTCTGGTCCCATCTATAAAGGAAAATTATTCATTGAGCCGTCAAAAATATTATGAATTCCTTTGGAATTGAACAAGTTTTCTGGGTTAACCTCGTGGGTGCACATACTTTTGATTTTGCCATATGGGATTTCTAGGTTGTAAGATTTAGCACCTGGCTGTTTCAGCCATAGGTGCTAATCTCATGTGTAAAGTAGAAACTTACTTCCGGGGTTTTAGTGATGTAGGTAGATGGGTGAAAACATTTCACTACAAACCCTTACACCAAAATGTACTGTTAGGCATAATGTGATGGGTTCAAAATAATCACATAATACTGAAGGCTTCAAATGCCCTGAGAATTTCTTAATCTGAGTTTTATTGGCGTGATAGAGTAGATAGATAAGATATATTTAATTGTATATCTCATACTCTACTAGGACTTCGGTGTGAAAACTAAATATGACGCAAAATCTATCTGAACTAACTAAACTATATAAAAATGCTCAGTTAAGTAATTTGATAGTTTGACCACCCTACTTCAGCTTATGTCCAGCAAATATTAAAATTATCAGAATACCCATGACTTTTAATTTTATTTATTTATTGTTAAGTGACTTTTAAAACTTAATAAAACATAAATAAAACTATACCTGACAAGCCGTGCCTCGAAATCTAATTAGTTTTCAGAATCTTTCTTATCTTCAACTTTGCTTTCTCTTGAACTTTTTATGGATTGTATAATTTAGGTTTTACTTTATTTCTTAATTTTATGGAAGGGTGAATTAAATAGTTGTAATATAACACTTGTCCTAATTAATAAACAAGTTGTTTGTAATGATATAGGCACATCTTGTTATACTCAATAATTGTTCTTCATGATATATTGTTGCAATAAGCCTTTTTATCTATCAGATACTTAAGTTTCTAATATATAATTAACTTAAGATGGAGATAACTTTGCATTGTGTTCTACGGAAATTGACTTGCAACTTAAATAGAGATTATTTTTTTTTTGATAAGTAAAATGTATTAAAAAGCGATCAAAAGGGGAAATTAAATAGAGATTATATAGGATCATCATATCCTAATTCGTCTTCTTGAAAACATAGTCCAACTAATTTTTTTGGATAAGTAAATATGAAACATAGTACAATTATTTGAAGGTCTTAATGATCAATTATACTACAATGCTATGCTAGAATTCTGCTTATCACTGTTAAAGACATGTTTTGCCTTGGGTCTTGAATTATTAAAGAACTATTAAATATGTGTTTACAATCAAAAAACATATTTTCTCAAAATATTGATACATTGAAGAAGTATTGGAGACCTATACACAAGTTTTAGTATCGACCACTAATCACTATGGAAATGGCTCATTTGCTGAAGCTTTTGTTCTTCATAGGTCACATAGATTTGTGTCTTCAAATAGAAAATGGGAAGAAATGACTGTTTATTATTAGTAATTGTTTGTTTTTTTTCAATGATTTGACATCTTTTTAGTGTGCGTAGTTGATTGTTAGCATACCAAACTTGAACTAAAACAATTCCAGTTCAAGGTATTGGCCAGTGCTTAGAACAGCTGCTGCTGCTACTATTACAACTATTAATAATAGTTTATTATATTGAATGCTTAGGCTGGCATCATATTATTGTTTTGTTTATTTATTTATTTTATTTTTTAAGTGGCAATATGTATCTTAAGTATCCGAATGTTGAGAGAAAATTTGGCATTCATTTTTCCTGCTTGGCCTTTCCAATTAATGTTGGAATAAAACTGAAATTTTGAAATGGTTTTGTAGGATGTGATTGATGGAGATTTGTGTGAGCAGTTCCCAACATTGCCGCTGGATTTGCAGCGAAAAATTGCAGATGAATTGGATAGAACTCCAGCAGAGATTCTGAAGAAACTTGAAGAAGTTCGGAATAAGATCATTTGAGAATTATAAGTCCTAAGGTACACCAATCCTCTCTACTCACCAACTTAGACATGCCTTTTTAGCATGGATGTGTATTTATATTATTTGTGAACGTCTTTATTACTTGTAAAATATATATATATATATTTGTGAACGTAATTATTATGTTTGTGTATTCTACACGGAAAACTTGTGGTAATAGATTACAATTGGTTATGCATTTGTATTTTCTTGATATGTCTTCTTGTTATCTGTGTTTTTTTTTTTTAATCTATAATAGCTGTCTAAGCTTTTCCATGGAAAATTGTACCAGGGTGGACACCACCTGAATGGAACTGGGTGTCTTTGGGAGTATGGGTCTGAGTACTCGACATGCTAGAAGAAGCCAATTAAAACCAATAAGAAAAAATAAATGATAGGAACTTGAATGAGAAGGGGCATAGCAGAGAACATACTGTCATTATATAGATGTTGTAGCATTATATAGATGTTGACGGAATTGTAGAATTAGAGATGGAATAATTCACTGCAGAAAGAAAAGGGCTTGGATTGGGATGGAATACAGAGTACAGAGTAACAACAGCAAAATGTAATTTGTACACATTAATGTATTATTATTATTATTATTTTTTTGTGGTTGGGGGGGTTAGGGTAAAGTAGCAGGATACAATCTTACTTATCAAAACAAGGGCAAAGTAACTTATCAAAAAAAAAAAGAAGGGCAAAGTAGCGGGATCCTTATTAGCACCGCGTTCCCATTTCACAAGAATATATGTACAGGTTGTACTCCCCCGCACTACATGCTTGCTCAATTATGACATTGGGTAACAAATTGTAGGAAAAGGCAGTGGTGGAGATCTCCATGCTGTCCTTTAGCTTGTATTATTGCACATTGGGTGAAGTGCGGAAAACACTCGAATAGTATATAGCTTATTTCTAAACACCCCTCAAGTTCAATGTAGGTGCTAATGAGGGTCTGATGTCAGTCAACCATTAACAGAGCTTTGAAAAGACTAAAGTACCCCTATCTCACTGAACTAAAAAATATGCCTAAGTGCACTAAACCCCCCTGTGGTTTTAAAGAGTTGCAAAGTACCCCCCTCTATATATATATATTTTTGTTAGGGGGGTGGGGGCAACACCCCCTCAATTTGCAAATTGCCCCCTTTTGGTGGCATTTTGGCTGACTGTGACCTAACTGTGTTCCCCCCCCCCCCCCAACAACAACCCGACAAAAAAAAAGGGGAAATAGAAAGAAAAAAAAATTGGCTGCTGTTTTGGGCTGTGTTCTTCTTCGGTGTTGTCGTTGCCAAGACCAGAGCATAGGTGTATATATATATATGTATATGTATATATTAGTGTATGTTTTTTTTTTTTTTTTCTCTTTTTTTTATCTATGGGTATATATGTAATTTTGCGCAATACTCGACCCTAGTTAGCTCACAGTCAAGTAAAAGGGGGTAATTTGCAACAATATACATATTGAGGGGGTTTGTCCCCCCCCCCCCCCCCCCCCCACAACAAAGTAGAGGGGGGTAATTTTGCAACTCTTTGAAACCATAGGGTGGTTTAGTGCGCTTAGGCCTAAAAAATATGTAAAAAAATTGAATCCGAGAAAGGACTAACCCCTTGTCTAAAGTTGCTCTGATTCCGTTGAAGAAGCTATTCTTGGAAGATCGGGAACCTCCATCTTTATCGTCACCGGAAGCAGACAAATTGGAAAGTATATATTCCTCCGGAACATACTGCATTTGGAGTCCAAAAGTAGTTGAATCGTTGCCAGATAGATGTAAGAAAAGCCGTTCGACTGGATTGGAAATTCTGGTGACGATTAGTCAAATTCTAACACTCTTGGTGATGGAGAGATTCCTCATCTAAGTGCTGAAAAATGGCGATCTGCTTATTCCAAAGCCCTCTTTATTTCTTTCATTGTCATTCCGATAGACACCACTCTACCCATATGTGCATGCAAGTCAATAGGTAGTAACAATTTACTTTTGCCTCTTTCAGATATTATATATATATATATATATATATATATATATATATATAACGGTGAGGGCATTTTTGGAATAAAGAAAGGGCATTTTTAGATTTTCATATCTAAAAAATGTTGTACTCACATGACTATTTGACAGGCCTCTCTAGTGGCAGTCTGATGGGAGGCCCTTAGTTGCAACATTATTTGATACAATATTGACTTGTATCCAGAAAATAAACAATAGGGGTGTTACGTGCACAAATGTAAACCATAGGGAGTGTTTTTATGTACTTTTTCCCTTGCACAATTGTCGGACACTATAAATAATAGTTGTTGATTGTGCTGATTGAATGGAGTGCGCATTGCATAGGTAAGGTGTTCTCATATGGATTCTCTCTACTTTTTATGTACAAAGGGCTCCATGCAGAGGCATGCAATATCTAATGATATAGATCATCTCCCTGCCCACTCCCCTCCATTCCTCCTCCTGTCCTCCTTGTCAGTCCTGCATCAATGAGTCTCCTTTCCGAATCATCATATGTTGAACAAAGGCAGTATCATTTCTGGACTTCATTAATGCAAAAGACCTTCCATAACTGATCTGAGTCATTTTCTTTTTTCGTTTATGCTTTGTTCGGTAGAAAGGAAGGAGGAAGAGGTGTGGAGGGAAGATAGGAAGGATGGAACAAACTTCCTTCGTTTGGTAGAGAGGAGACAGAGAGAGAGAGAGGGATATTAGGAGAGATGAGCCATCCTTCCTCCTTTACAAATTTTTCTTCCAAATTTGGTCAGAAGAAAGGAGGGAAAACGAGTGGGACTATTATAGAAGTCTTAAATTACTACTATCCTAAATTAGACAAAAATCGTACATTACTACTATCCTAAAGGCTAAATTAAAACTCTCTCTTCCCTTTTCTCCTAACGAACTCATTAAATTGTGAGCTTATTCTCCTCTTCCATCCAACCAAATAAAAAGAGGATAGGACACAATTTCTTCTCTAGGGATATATCGTCCATCGCTTCTTCTCTCCCTATCATCCAAATTTTTTCTTTCCTACCGAACAAAGCATTATTTGTTGTTGATTACTGATGGAATGATGCTTGAAGTTTGACTTTGATCTGTTTTGATAAAGTAAATTCAGCGTAAAAGAGAGAGAGAAAGAAACCCTCCTTTCCTGGGAAACTAATTGTTGTACGAGGAATGTACCATATCTGATTTGGGTTTAATGCATCTTTTATACAGTTGCTTTATATATGACCTTTAATACCAATCTGGTGAAGTATTCCTTTCTTTATTCATGTTTTTCCCTAGAATCTGTTTTCCGGTCTTTGTCCTCATTATCTTTGTTTTTTTTCCTAGTTGGTACTCATACACACGTCTCTTTCGAGACTTGAACCTCTGACCTCCCCTTTGGGAAGTAAGAGACTGATACCATTAGGCCACTGACCGGTTGGTTCCTCATTATCTTTAGTATAACAAACAGTATCATTTCTGGAGAATACTGGTCATCTGAATATCGTTCCTGTTTTCCTGGTTTTTGTCTGCTCAGAGTTCTGGGCCTATTGCTAAAAAAATAAAAAATAAAAAAAAATGTCTCACTTGGGTTTGTTGTGTTTTTAGGTTTTGGTGACAATGTGAGCGTGCTGGGGCTTGCCCGTGGATCTACAGGGGGCAGCGAATTCTCTCATCTGATTCAAGTATGAGCATGGATCGAAAACCCACTTGGGGAAACTGAGAGTGCATTGGACAAAACAGAAAGCAGTACTTGCACCTCCCAGTTGGCTTCTTTAATTCCTCGGGTCTTTTGTTGTTGTAATTAGACACTAACAGATTTTTATGGCTTCTTTAGTGGATTTAATCCGTTAATCTTTAGGTGTGATGTTAAACTCTCCCCCTCGTACTATACATTGCGCGTCTTGCAGTAAGAATAGATTTGTTTTTATACCGTTCTTGGCTATCCTAGTTCATATGCAGCAGTAGAGATGGTTCTTTCTCAAACATATTCACTTTTAACTTGTGGAAAGGAAGGTTTATTTTCCTTCTTGATGTGATAGAACGTAGAAGCAGAACCCTTGAATGAAATCATCTCATTTTACACTTGGTTATTTATGTCTTTTTAGCGCATGAGCTCTGTATATTTTTTTCAGTGAATAGATTGATTTTTTTTGTCTTGACTTTTATCTTTTCTTGGCCTTGAACAAATTTGTCCAAGCGAAAATGTCGAGATATTTTGATATGATAATTTCATGGCTTGACTTCGGTTGGAATTTAGACTCTTGTTATTCCATTAATACAAGTATTTAAGTATTATATAGTTGAAGATTCTTATTAAATTTGAAAGAACAACGATAGTTGCTGACAAAAGGCTGTAACCTCTCATAGGGATGGTACGGGTTCGAATTTCTGCAGGTGAGTTTCTTAAATACTCTTGCATGAAGACAACAACAATATATGATTTTATTAAGCTCTATATGATTTTATTAAGCTCAAGAAATTGAATGAACCATTTTGGACAAATTTGAAATTAAGGCTTTGTACATGATTTTCAATGCTAGAACCAATTCACCACCATCCCCATCGCTAACAAAGTAGTAAAGTCACTCCAATCCAAAATGAGTCTTTAAACCCTAATCCAACACTCTTCTTTCATTCATCAAAACGTTACCCTTTTATAATTTCAATATTTTTCTTGATTAGATTCTCTAGATTTTGGTAGGTCTGCATTATCTTGTTTACCAGAGTTGGCCTTGGAGCCATTGTCGTGTTTGTGTTTTTGCTCTCCAATCTAGAATTTTTCGAGGCAACTTTCTCATCCAACCAAAACTGATAATGTCCGAGAACACGGTATCTGTGTTCTCCGGCAACTCCCCATAGGTGAGAGCGTGCTACATGCCGGGATACAACTTGAAGGCCTTGTCCGTGCTCGAAGCTGGCTCCTAAAAAAGCTTGCTAATGGATGGATCAGTAACTTGGTCATCTCCTCCATGGACAATCAGAGATGGCAATGAAACCTGATAATGACATACACATAATGTATTAATATTTGGAGTTGTGACTAGGGTCCAAACCACAATTGATAGTTGGTGCCAATTTTATACTTAGCAACCCTAATTTTTATACTATGGTAGAAGGTTAAACACATCAAAAAATAAACGTCACATTTTTTTAAAAAAAATGAGAAGATTAATGAAAAATTAACCAACCTCTTGAAGTCTTTTCTGGATATCTAACCTCTTGAAAAGTTGTTGGCCAATTTATAAGCGTGGTCTTCCTTTGTATCAATAAGCTTTGGACCGAATCTGTCACCATTAAATACAAAATATTATAATGTACAATGTCATATAAAAGATCGAAGAAGATACAAATTTTATAACCCAATTTTTTGTACTTTTTTTTTTTTTTAATTTCATGATGATAATTATTAAGGGTATGATGAAAATATAAAGTAGCCTATTTAATTTACTACATGAATTTCTTTCCACAAAAAGAATAAAGTAAATAGAAGACAGGAGTGATAAAATTATACCTCTTTTCTAATTTCAGGAACTCTAAAGGCAATATCAATAATATATCTTGTGTTAGTTGTAACGACCCAAATCCAGTGGATCCAAGTCATTAACGGGGGTGATCCGAATTCCGGGTCCTTGCCCGAATCCGATGACACCTTAGGGGTAAAACGGTCATTTAATACCAAGGATGGAGGATGAGTTGACTGGGGGGTGATCCGAACGTTCGGGGCCTGATTTGCAGTGAGAGGGGTGCATTCGAATGCCTCTGGGTGATTTTTTTTTTTTTTTATTTTAAAAAATGCCTATTTTAGACAATGTAATCCCCGGAATCAACTTTAGTCGATTAGACCCTTCAAAACCTATCCCAAATCACATGAATGGACAAATGAAGCCCCAATATGCATCCATATACATGAATATACCAAAATGATTCGATTGCATGCACAGTCCATCTTCCATCCATTTACATTACATAATTAAAATAGAAAATTTAATGTGAGGTAGTGTTACAGGATCAAATTACATTGTGAATTTTTTCCTCTGTAATGGCACTTGGGGCCACTAACTCTCAGCCAACACAATACACAAACACAAATATAGGCACACAGAGTTTACAAGACAAAGTCCCAACCTTTGATCTTATTGAACAAAATACAAATGACACAATTTCGTACAAGAGACTCAGGCAATCATTGCATACACAACAATATCCTCTCTCTGCCTAATTGTAACAAGGGTCATTTATCCCATATCGGATCCAGATGGGAAAGTGATTGGGTATAAATGGGTGGGTATGCAGCACTACCCAATAACTTGAGCTTTTGGGTAAATGGGCAAGCGTCCATCCGTTATAGTTGGTATCAGAGCCAGACCCAATCCTTGATCCGGTATCACACCAAGTGCCCGACCCAGAGGGCGTCCGGGTTTGCAACCCGGGTACGCAGGGTAGCCCGAGCCGCAATGAGGGCGTTGCGAGTTTGGGTGGAGGAGAATGTAACAAGGGTCATTTGTCCCACATCAGATCCAAATAGGAAAGTGATTAGCTATAAATGGGTGGGTATGTAACACTACCCAACAACTTGAACTTTTGGGTAAATAGGCAAGCACCTACCCATTATAGGTAGCTACATACAATCCTTCTAAATACATTACACCTACAAAATGTAGTTATGGTCATTATGTACAAGCCATTCCCCACGTGGTCATCAAAAGAATATGATATAACTTTGAGGTCGGTAGGACATCGTTAACAACATATGTTCCTTAAAAAATAAATAAAATAAAATAAAATAAAAAAAGATTACTACATTGGCTACATGGCCTTCTGTCTACATTAGACAAGTCACAAAATGAAATCAAAAGGCAACAACTTCAAATTTAGGCTTGTAGGAGCGCATCCTCCACTATTTCTTTCTCGTGTTTTGAAAATGTTAAAATAAGGGATGAGCAGGACGACTCGGTATGAAATGCCTAAAACACACACTTTAGACTCCCTTGAGCCTAACATCCAATGAAAGATTTAAGAATGGATTATGGTTCATGCTTTTGAGGGGAAAACATAAGACATGAATAACACATAATTCCATAACAACCAACTCACAAACAACTAGGTATTGAATGCCAATGACAATGAACCGTGCAATGAATGCAATTCTGACTCTAACCCAAACTCATACAACTCACACCGAAAATCGCTAACCAACTTTATCGATGCGAAATTAACTAGCTATCCCTGGCCTCTCACCGAGGACCTTGGGGCCTAGCTAGTTCAATTATACATGTCCTACCTGACACGTGCTCCCTATAAGTTGAATTAGTTACCGGATCGTGACTTCAGGCCCTTCCTTTATTATAATCCTTTTTAATAAAACTTTTCAAAAACCAAGTCATTTCCTTAACTAATAGACTATACTCTCCATGCTAATGCTATAAATGAAGTGAGTATAACCAATATCCATTGAACATCATCATCCCATACAAAGTCATCCGGGCATATCAATTTCACTAAAACTAATATAACTGTTCCTTGGAGCATTATATCAAATAGCAAGCATGCATGGTAGAGATAGTCACAACTAAGCACAAAATATAATTTAGCATGTTTAATTGGCAAAGCAAGCATACTTGTCCAAGTACATAAACATAATAGTTATATACATGCTTTAAATTTAACAAATAAGCATACAATTGTGCAAGTGAGCAAGTAAACAACAAAATTACATCTTTGTCAACTAGTAACCCTACAATTTCATTTCTAAACACAACATACGGCTAACATACACACAAAGAGGCAAAGAATGAAACTATCTTAAGAAAACTCACAAAGAGGCAAAGATTAATGGGTTAGACACCTCTACCTCAAATGATGTAATTTTGACTAGTCTCTTGCGAGAGGTCACTTCACAATGTCAATATGAATATGGTTTTGGAAGCTTTAGAAAGTCAATTATACATTTATAAAACCACTACTACTGTGTAGCATAGTGAGTAGGGATCGTCCAAAGGGACCAACGGCTTGAGTCAATTTAAAATTAGTGAACAAGTGATTAATAGAAAAGATAGTTTGCTTAAAATCCTAATTAAACTAAATAATATAACAAATGCAAAGAAAATAAAAAGATAAATGGATAACGCAATGGAGATATTGAGATACTTAGGTCTGGACTCCACCTTTGGCCTTGCAAATGTACCATTGCAATCAAATTGGGAAAAAATACTTGTGCAATAGTAAAATTGTGGCAACAAGAACACATTGATAATTAAGCGGATAATGTAAATTGCATCAATAAGTATAACCCATCAAATCTAAATAAGAATTGTCTACCTACCTACTTTTACACTTGTAGCACAACCCATCAAATCTAAGCATGGACTATCAAACTAATTGCAACTACATCAATTAAGCACCATTGTTTAAAAATAGAATTGTGGCTATAAGCACACAATCATGGTCAAGAAGATATGTAAATTGCATCAATAAGCATAACCCATCAAATCTAAGCATGAATTATCTACCTACCTACTTTTACACTTGTAGCACAACCCATCAAATCTAAGCATGGACTATCAAACCAATTGCAACTATATCAATTAAGCACCATTGTTTAACAATAGAATTATGGCTATAAGCACACAATCATGGTCAAGAAGATATGTAAATTGCATCAATAAGCATAACCCATCAAATCTAAGCATGAATTGTCTACCTACCTACTTTTACATTTGTAGCATAACCCATCAAATCTAAGCATGGACTATCAAACCAATTGCAACTGCATCAATTAAGCACCATTGTTTAACCATCACCCACATAACTACAAGAAGTGAAGATGTTGAGATCAATATCAACCACAATTAATGCATAAAATAATGTCAAGATCATAAGAAGACTAATGGAAGAATTAAATACATAACTAATCTTAGTATAACCAAAGATAATTCACAAGGTTAAACAATCTATACAAATAATCCCCAAAATTAAAGACAAAAAATACAATACTTGGCTTAAAGCTTAATCCAAACCCTAAGAGAAGAAATCGGTAACCATAGAGATGATGAATGAACATCGATACTCTAATCCCCACCTCCAAGCATAG